CACTGTTCTAGCAACATTACTATGAATGGCGCATTGGTTTTAACCAGGATTTCATGCAAGCTCTACGCAACCGGCATGGCCTACTACGGTGGAAAGGCGGTGATGTCCGGATGCTCAGCCACAGTGGTGGCAATCTGTAGCGACCACGTCTATCGCTTCAACGAGTACAGTGTTCAAGCCCGCGGGGTGAGGCTGGCCCTGCTCAACAACCGGGTCATTAATTTTTCATTGGAGTGATGCCTTGGGTACATTAGGCAATTGGTGCATGCAGATGCGTTTTATCGATACAGCGCATAGAGGCAAAAGCTTGAGCGCCCTAGATGCTGTTCCTACTGTCCTGATAGATCATTTTTCAACAACTTAATTATGTTCTGCTCCTTGTTTCTCAGAAGTAGCTGGAAATTCCATGGGAAATGTATGTAAGTTTCACGCAGATTCACTCCACGTTTTAATGCCGCCGAATGCCGACGATCGGGAAGGAAAGTGCAAACACGTCCGTATAAAGAATTGAATTAGGTTGACATTATAAATTCATTTAAGGCAAACCAGTGCTGCATTATATCACGTACTCGTGACATGTTCAGGGCGGTGTTTTTGACAGATTTTGGTTGAGTGGTTGTCTGCACCCAATCGTGGAAAGTATCCCAAAACAGGCATTTCAGGACAATATTGTACCTTGTACGTCACGGCGTAAGCTTATATTCACAGCCTTGCATGAATGCCGATTCATGCTCGTGGCGCTCGGGTTTCGGCAAGCGCAGAACTGTCTCCAGTAGGCACTCAGCGTGCAATTCAGTTGCGATATTTTGAACCACGTCTTGCGAAAGGGGGAGATGCAAGTGATCAGTACGTTCTCCAAAATGGAAGCATCACAAAACTCTGACGATGGCATCAAAGAACCGCATTATGAAACCGACTAGTTCGCTTCTGAGACAGACCACTACACCGAAGCAATTACCATGAACAATGATAACGGCTGAGAGTTGCCAGGCATCAACATCGAGTAAAAGGGGCGATAGAAGGCAAGCCAATACCACACCATGTCCGCGATGTCTGCGCTGGTCCCGTTCGTGACGCTCGCAATATGATCTGTAACGCCATTCGTAACGCCCTACAAAACGCATGTAATAATCCATCGTGGTTTCATTTGCGACCTTGATATGAACTGCACGAATTGCTGCATCACGGCATCTAAATCGTGCCCGCGGAATGCTTAAAAACATTTACAAAATTGGTGAAAAGAGTGCTGTTGAAAATAGAGGGGACATTTACCAAGAGCCTTCTCTATTCAGCCCCTTGGGCCTGAGCTTTGCGGGCGCCCAAATTCAGGGCCTGCTTTTGTTGTGAAGGGCGGAGCTCATGCGACGTTCGTGGAGCCTGCCGGATCGCACGCCAGAGGGGCGTACCTCATCGGCCTGAAAGTGGACTGCTACTATGAGGTACGATTTTGGGAATGGGAGAATGAGGAACACGTTCACTGGCGCGGCATCCTTGCGGAAGTTCTTGCCTACATCTGTCTTGACCACATTGCCACGAAGCCCCGCTGTTATATCTGACACTCTTCTTAGCAAAGCGCAGAATAGAGTGCGAAGTATTGCTGAGTATAGGGCTGTACTCATTGGTGCATCCAAAAGTGGGCAAGCGGAGAATCTCCGCTTGAAACATTATCTACGAAGCGTTGCCAGGTCGCGAGCCTAAGGTCCCTATTCCCCACCCCCCATTTTACGTAGTACGCCCGCACGCACGTGACAGCCCGAAAGAGAGGGCCACCATGTAGGGAAGCACAATGTGTTTGCTTCCGAGAGATTTCTCATTGTTTTGGCAAGACGTCACGGGGTGTGAGCAAGGTGTGGGGCCCATACCAGGTTGGCTATGGGAGCATGAGAGCCCTGCGGCAGTGATGCGTCCATTTGCACACAGCCACCCTTGCCCTTCTGACTCAATTGAGTCAAAACGGTAAGGCTGCGAGACATTGCAATGGCAGGGTCTCTTTTCTCCCTTTCCCTTCTGCTCTCTCTTGGGACCGTGGAGTGTGTTGGGTGTGGTGTGGTGTGGTGTGGTGTGGTGTGTGTGGCGGGGAGTTTCGCTCCCGAGTGTTGCTCCTTCCACACAAGTTCATTTCATGTCATTCTGTTTAATATTTTACCAATTGGCAGCTCAACCACGCTATATTAATGGAAATCTCCCAGTGCGGGCGACAAAATTTCAGTAAATTGAACGACCAGTTGGACCATATCGGTCCGCCATGTTAACAGTATTTTGGTGCCATTTTTCACCGGCATTTGGCGCGTTTGCAGGGACGGGTGTCCGTCGTGCTGGCCAGCCCGGACGCCAGCTCTCCCAAGCTCGAGCTCGAGAAGCTGCCCTGCACTCCCGTCCAGACCACCGGCATACACACCCTGCTCGAGCAGCACTCCTACGAACGTCCAGAGCCCTACCACAGTGCCCATGGGGCGGCGCATTACCACGAGAGCCCCGTGCCGCACAGCCGTGGCTCTGGCGGCCACCACGATGACGGGCACCAGCCCTACCGCCACCGCAGCCTGCTAAGCAACGACGCAGATGAAGAGGACAAGGGGGAGGTGGATCTGGAAGAGGCGTTTAGTCACTTGTTGCCTAAGCCCAACTTGGGAGTTGGTGCGGAGATGGCCTCCGTTTGATTTATTGGTCACACGACGGAGCCAAAACTGAGTGGCTGCACAAGTCGTTGTGCGTCTTATTCGAGCGTGAACAGTATATATTGGCCGAGAGCTTTCAAAGGCACAAGAATGGGAACATGTGCGAGTTTGGGACCCGTGCATTGGTGGGCGCTTCCGGGCGCCTCGAACCTTCCAACCAGCTGCAACATCCGGGTCATGCTGCCGTGGAAATCTAAGGGGATGATTTGTGCACTCCACACCGACCGGGGACTGTGCCGAATCCGACAGTCCAGAATGTTGTTGTGCGCAGCAGAAAACGTTCTGGCAGGCAAGACGTCCTTTCACTCGATGTCGTTCGTTCGTGCTGTGTGTATGCGTTGGCCCGGAGTTTCAAATCTGCACGCTTCCTGTTCCAGTCAGCCACACACTGCGCTTGCCCCCCGAGGAGGAATGGCACAAACGACCAGGGCCCAGGGACTCCCCAGACAGTTAGCATCCGTTTTCTGAATTCATCCCGACTGGTCTGCATATTGTGCGCAAAGTCCAAGTCAGCCAGCAATGGGCAAACATCGCCCATTTCCGATTTCCCATTTCCATTTCCCATTTCTGTCCGTGTACAAGCGGTGCTCATAGTTTCTGCAATTCCGCACTCATCTACACTTTAATTGCTGGCCCAAATGCCGGCATTACAAATATGATTGTAATTACAATTGCGAGCACCACTGTGGCCATTGCGATGATTATCGTTGCCATGCACTTGCACAGTCGTCGGGTAAACCGAGTTTTAACAAGTCCAAAGAGCGAATTGTTCACAGCATGTTTGGTGCCATCTGCCAACAGCGCAGATTGAAGATGACACCCCCCGTTGCCCTTGAACTGCAGCAATCAAGAAAGCTGAAGATCACCGAACGGCTTAGCGCAACACAAGCGCCAAGCAGTTCGCCTCATTGCTGCCGCTCCATAGCTATCGCGCCAACGAAAAAGGCCTCTAACCCTTCCCCGTACTATCTCACCAGCTCCCACAATCAGCGCGGAACGAGCTTTCCAGCCAACACAACACACGTCCAGTACTCGAACAACGCACTGCACGCCACAGTGCGGAAGTCCATTGCTGGTGTAGAAGCGCCACAGTGCACACACAGCAAAAACACTGCCCAGCACTCGTATAACATGGCCAAGCACTGGAGTGTGCACGCAAGCACGCCGGCCGCTCCCGGACGCCCCCATCAGAACTTGAACGATTCCTTCTTTCCCTCGTCCTTGGCGGCCATCTTGCGCTTCTGCTGCGCGGCCTTGTGCGCCACCATGTCTGAGAAGTCCTCCCGCTTGTTCTTCAGGCGGTTCTCCTGCACGCCCTGATCGTACAGCCGCTGGATGGCCGCCTGGTCCTCCAGCTCCTCGGGATCCAGCGTCACCTCCACAACGTCGGCAGCAGCTGCGGTGGCCTTCATGTCCGTTCTGACCGAGCCACAAAAAAATGCGAATCGAAAACGGGCATTGGGTTCATGCACATGGGAGATACATCGTTGAAAATGTCACTGAATGACTTTGGGGGAGTGAGTGTGCCTGACGCTGCCAGGCAGGGGCTTCAGCAAGACGAACTGCTGGTGCACTGGCCCTGCTCCAAACCCCAACGTTGAAGTTTATGCCAGCGGTTCAAACTTGAGAGTTTCCAAAACTACATGACACACATCTGTACAGGCACATTCAAGTGGCTCACGCCCTGTGACTCAATCTGAGAGCAGTCCTTAAGAGCAGCAGCAACTGAAACAAGACAGAATTGTTTGTTGGCAAACCGCAGGCATAGAACACTGTCCCAGCACAGTGCCTATAAACATGACATCACAACAGCAAGTCTGATGCTGCACTGTGTGCTCTCAAAGCCCAAGATCATGCTGACTGGTGCCAGCAGCTACGAGCATCAAACACCTTGCGGTGAGTTGGTACAACCAACCAGAAAGTAGCAATCTCGAACCCACATTGGATCACATTCATCGTTAGGTTATCACTCTTTGCCAGCACTCCAGAGCCAAGAACAATGGCAACAACAAGTAGCAAGAATTGATTCGATGCACAGCCGACATCCCACCTCTTTCCCATGGCGCCAACTGGCCACTTCTCCTTTTCGCCCCTTTCCTTCGGCATCACGTAGATGTGGTCAGAGCCCATCAGGGCTCCCTGACCAACGTTGGCCGCCTTCTGTTCCAAGACGGTGTACAGATGCTTCTGTCTTTGGTCAGTGGCCTGCTCCAGCAATGCACAATCAGCAACCAGATGAATTAATGTGCTTCTGCAAGACACTTGCCCAGGCGTGCGAGCTAATCAAGGAGCGCAGCTGAAGGGCTTTTAGGGTTCAGGACACGAATTGCACAAAGCACACAACACAAAGTACGTAAAGGGCAGAAAGTACCAACCCAACACAAAGATGCACAGTTCCCTTGGCTATATGAGCTGTCTCAGAAGCAAGGCGATTGCAACACCGATGCTGGCAAACATTCCAGCATAACAGCGCACTTGAACATCGTAAACAAGAGCACATTCACCTCGCAGCACACATTGCACTTGACAGAGGAACTCCCTGAGTTGCTTATAAACTTGACAGAGGCAAGTGCCCTGGCGAATGTGTCCCTTGCCAGAAAACTGCATGTGCTGGAGATACATATCCAGGCTATGGCCATAGCCCAGATATGTATATCCAGGATATGGTGCCCATATGCCAAATATGCATAACCCTGGATATGGTGCCCATATTCCCGATATGTGCATCCAGGATACTGTGCCAATATCCTAGAGATGTATATCCAGGATATGGAGACCCACATATTCATTCGAAATCCAGCATAAGGGACTTTTTCACCAATGTCACTTTTCATACTGCAGCAATGGATGCATTCGTTTCTTCCACAGTGTGCCCACCTCACTGGCGAGGGCACCCCCCTCACCCCCAGGCAAAATCAAAAAACGTAATTACACTGCACAGGGTCCTACATCAGTGTCCGCGAAGGAGCACCAGACAACGCTGTTGACCATGCAGTGATGCAACACCATGGACACTGACTGTTCGTCCACGAAACGTACCTTCCGCAAGTCGATCATGTCTGGTGTCTCGATGCCAGATGGCAGGCTGGAGGCAAAGCCAGACGCAACCGAAGATATTCCTGCCCTCACGGCATCGTCGTCGATCGAGCGGCCATCCGCGGCTGCCCCATCTTCGTCTTCGTCCTCTTCCTCATCTTCCTCCTCCTCGGAAGACTCCTCGGCATCTGAATCCAAAGTGCCCCACCGCCATGACTTGTCAACCTGCAAGACAAGTGTCCATGGAATGGCATGAATGCACAGAATGCAAGTTCACTGAACATTGAAGGGGACTAACTACAAAATGGAATAAATGGAACAGTGCTTAGGCAAGGCATTTGCCAACTCCTGTTACTTTTATGCCCCGTGCAGTGAGCAACATGTCCATTTGGACGCAACAACAGTTTCAGTAACGATGAATCGGTCACTGCCATGGCCTTTTGCATGCCGAGACACCGCTCAGCGAGGCAACAAACAAAACTCCATAGCAGTTGGCTGTAGCATCCCCCTGTGACCCAACAATGCTCCTCAAAGCTTTCAAGAGGTTCTTGGAAGCCACCAGAAAGACTGAGGCTGCCTTGTGTTTCTGGGTTTAGTGGAGACACGTGTCCTGTCCTGAGCATTAAACTTCTTGCTGCATGTAATGGATACGCCTTCCATGGCTACAGCACTGCGAGGGCTGCCCTATAATGGGGCGTTCTCTTTCCCTGTCGCACTACAACTCATCTTCAGCACCTTGAAAAGTTCTGTGGCCCCCCTGCCACAAACTTCAGGCTCAACTAGCAAGATTTTTCACAAAACAGCAGCTAAAATGATAACAACTAAGAAAATCTATTCTTCAGCAGCTTGAGATGCTACCAAAACAATGCACCACTGCCACAACGATACCACTCACTGCCGGCGGTTCCCTCAAGTCACCTATCACATTCCTTTCAGCACATAAACCACAAAATCAGACTCCAAACCACCCAGCCATGTTTACAAAAGTCCATCACAGCTTGCATACATGTGGCTACCAAAGACTACCCATGTTGTCTACCCATTACTCCATCTGTCAGCATACTGACAATGACAATGCTGCAGTGCTCAACAATACTGCAAAACTGTCTCCAAGGTGCAACCACAAAGGACCACAAAGCACCATGTATGGCAGCCACTCTGGCAGAGTTGGGATCACTACCGCAGACCTCACCTCTCTGTCAGAGTCCACTTCATCCTCATACTGCCCGAACACATCACCATAGAGCGGGTTCCCCTGTTCATCAACCGGGGGCTTGCCCCAGCCACCAGGGTGGTACCCGAAGGAGGCATCTGGTGGGATGGGCGCATTAAGGCCTGGGATCTTGAGCGAGGGGTACGAAGGTGGGGGCCCATACCGCTGCATGTTGATCAGCCAGGGAGGGGGCGCGCCTTCGGCCATGCCGAGCGCCTGGCGCAGCTCAGCGCTCAGCAGGCCAGGCTTCATGTCCTTCAGCTTGGGCTCAAACTCCTTGCCCTCGTAGTACAGCTCCCCCAGCCCACTGAGCTTGGGCTTCTTCTGGTGCTTAAAGAAAGCATCATAAAGGACCTAGGGACCAATGGCAGGTTTTGCAATCACATTTGCCAGCTTCCAGAATTGCACTAGTCATTAAATCATGCACGCTTCAAGGAAAACAGCACGTCACTTGCAGGGCCTTTGCGCCCCGTGCTGATGCGGAAATTTGATTCTGCAGCCTGCAATGTTGCAGCTCTGCCTTGCACTTGTGTACCATGGTAACATTGATGCAGGCAAAAACAACGCCCACCTGTGACTATTCCAATTCAAACGGCGACACTCTATCTCACAATGATATATTCCACAGTACAATATGCTTGGCAGTGTCAGAGCGGGATCAAACAGGCATGCAAGTTGGCCCAAGAATTGCTGATCGCACAAGAAGGTACATGCCACCAGAAGGGTGCTTTGTACTAATAGTGGCCATCTTGCATGCGACCATGCTGTGGCCTGGGTGGCTCTCTGCCTGCCACTACCCACTGTGCACAGAAGCTTGGTGGCAGAAACAGATTCAATGTTGCATTCCTGCATTATGTTTATCGCCTGATATTGCTAGAGTGGTGTGAGCCCTGTGCTTCGCAATGTGCCACCACAGCAGGAATGGAATTCAAATACATGTTATTCCTTAGGATTGCCTGTGCAAAGCCCATTAACAGTCTAAGCAAGCCCCCTGGATCGTCACTATAAAATTCACATCAATACTCTTGATTCCCATGTAGTTGGCCGGTGGCCAAAGACAATGCCATGCTTTCTAAAAGGTGACTGCGTCTAGTGCTCAGTGTAAGTTGCACGGGATGCAAGGACAAATGTGACAAATGCAACAGGAGGCAAACCCACAGTGTAATCGATGTCCATCTTGCCAAGTTTGGGCTGCATCCTGTCCCGTTGCTTCTGCTTCACTTTCTTCTCTTCCTCTTTCTCTTTATACGCCGCCCTCATGTCGCTGATACCGGTGGCCTCAATGTATTCCGGCAGCACAAATGCGGGCTTCTCAATACCACGTTTGCCCTGCAAGTACTTCCGCTTCTGCGACCAGTGCCGCGGCACGGGCACAGAATTACGGAGGGACTGGCCAAAGCACAATGAAGAGAAACTCAAAGCATGAAATCAGAAATTCAAGTGAACATATTGAAGGACAGAAGTTCAATCCCAGTAGGCACAAAAGACAGAAACTCGCTGGTAGCCACAGGGTTCGCATAATGGCTCGACAAGTCTTGGGCATGTGAGTCTCAAAGAGTTTTGTGGTGTGCAAGGTTGTATTCACAGCCAAAGTGCAGCCCCTACTGCTGGCACCGATTCAAGTTGGTCTTCCCCACATTCTTGCCCATAGACTTTGCACAGACACCTTGCACTTGCCAAGGGGAATGGCCCCTTGAGGGCATGCGCATTTCATCAGGAACCAACATACGCCCATTCAGGTGCACAGGAACACACATAAAAAATTCGCAACAAGGCTGTCCATTGAGATACATAAGTTGTTGGACGTACCTTGAGATAAACAAGAAGCTGTGGATCTGCTGCTGTCACATCCCAACACTCTACAACGTCTGGCTTTGGACAGAGCTGCTTCAGCTCAGCGATGGTCATCTGTGAATTCAGCTTTCGCTTCTTTTTGCTCATCTTGTTGATATCACCTGAATAATGCAACGTGGCAGGTCACATGATATACAACTGAAAAGTTGCAAAACAGCAAAACACTGCCACATATGACTAAGTCACAGGAAAGTTCCATTCACCACAATGAAGGGCAATGTACAAGGTGGGCGAGAAAATGGGGAGAATGAACAAAGTACATGTGATCAAGTAGGAACTTAAAGCAGCAGCGAGTTGCCATAACACCACTAGAGTATCACTATGGTTTTCAATATGTAACCACAAATTACAATCGTAACACAAAGGTGGAAGCAGCAAACTGCCAAGGAACTGCAATGCGACAAACTCATACCCATGAATGTCAAAAAGCTGAGATAATTGTAGAATGACAAGTTTGATGGCATGCTTGTTCTGGTGCTCAAACAATGCAGACTCCAGCGCATCTGGCCAGCAGTTCGACGATGTGCAAAGCATGAGCATGACCACAAAGTATTGCCACCTGCAGCCCAGGCTGGCACACAGCACCAAACCACCACGGTTATGGACAGGCCACAGAACAGCACTGCCTTAACAAGTTCTAAATGTGAACACATGAGTCAGCCAAAATTGAATTAATGGCAAATTTCATAGTGATGTTCCACCAACCGCAATCACCTTCCGCATCGCTGTCAGATTCGACAGCTGCATCTCCATCATCCACCTCCTTCTTCACTGGCACTTCCTCCTAGTGAAGAACAAACAAGAAAACATCAGGACTGCAACAACACATGCCAGAACAGGGGCTGCTCAGTACTATGCTCTGCAGCAATACTGTATATACACATACTACTGCTTGCATGCACCATACTGCACATGTTGTGCACACACTTGCATACACACTACCAGAGTATGGTGAAGCACATTGGCATACATGCAGTCCATATCCTGTCCATTCTGTTGGTCCATGGCACCCACTTGTGCAGGCAGCAGGCTGTCAAGGTCGTTACTTCAAAACGACACTCAAATACATACACAGCAACGAAATAAAACAGTCTGACATCAATGATCGAACAGCATGAGACAGCACACCCCAAACCCCACCTTGTGTTCTTCACCCTTTGCCGCCTTCCCAGGGTTCATCAACTCTTCGGCTGAGGTGAATCGGTCAAAGATCCTGCCAAACTCGTCCTCCAAGGATTTCTGTTCAGAACGCACAAAGCTCCTGCCTAATGCAAGGATGTACAGCACAAGCATCCAGGATACAAGAACTCAACACAAGACAGACCAGGAACAAGATGTACTCGATAACTGTGTTACACCCACTTTGCTTGAAACATGTACTGACGCGCGGAAACTGTTACACTTTCCAATCAACACATTGGGTAGAGTGCCACACGCAATTCAGTGATGTTACAGGCCCATTAACGCTTGAGAAACCCAGAATACAATCCTGTTGCAGAATTTCCATTCCTGGACGCAATCCACTTCAGAATATACTGTCCATAATTCCAGAAGCCCTGCCTTGCACTTGTGAATGCACCATACGCTTCCAGAGCCAATTTCCAGCAATGCATGATTCTCTGCAGCACGGCTATGGGACAGAAGAGAGTGTGGCTGGGCGTTCAGGGTACACTAACTGCCACACAGAGCATGGGTGCAGCAAATCATTGACTGCATCACCAGTTTGATTCACAAACAGCGAAGTGGTGCAACTGGGCATTGGCCCCTGGTACTACAATTTGAATTTATGTTTAGAATGTTTGAACAGCACTGCTTGGATCCCTTGCGCCTGTCACTGTGCGTGCAAGATAAAAGGCCTCTGTTTGCAGTCGATGCTTGCCAGCAGCTATCCATGAACCTTTGGATGCAGGGATAGGTAGCCAGCATCCTTGACAGTCCTTGCTGCAGTGCAGTTTCCACCCCAGCACCAGCTGAAAGTGTGCAGGGGCAGTACATGTCAAGCCACAATCGCGACAGCAGCCAGAACACAAGAGTAGCAACTAACTGCAGCACGCACAGCGTCACACAGTTTGCCCGGGCTGACAGAGGCTCCCACCTGTGCCAGGATTGTGGTACACGCTGTCTACACATTCACAAGTAAGGGACAACCACCGCAACTTGTTGTCCACTGGTGAACGGTAAAAATCTGATGGGCACCCTACCCCAAAACATTTTTCACAGCATGGACAACAGCCCCTCACAGCCTATTGCTCACAAGGGGCCACGCACTGCATGGCATGCCGCCTTCTCGTCACACCAAATCCCTGCCAGGGCACCCACCTTGTCCCCATTCGCTTCGGCTTGCATGCCCGCAGCAGGGGCCCCGAGACCGGCAGTGAAAGCAAGCGCAGCGATGGACCCCAGGCCAGGGTTTGCCCCCAGACCAGCAGTCGCACCAAGCCCAGGGTTCGCGCTCAAGCCAGCAGTGGAGCCCAGCCCAGGTGTGGCCCCAATTCCCGCCACCTGCACCTCTGGGTCCTCTGCTGGCTGCTTGCCATTGGCCTCCTCCATGTGCTCGTCCGCATCGGCAGCAGGGGGACTTGCAGCCTTAGCCTCAGGAGAGGATTTGCCATCGGGGGGAGGGGAGCTGGCGCCATTGTTCTCCAGGAAGCTGAAGTCATTGGGCGCGCTCACGTACTCAACCTCAACCCCGTGCTGCGATTCGGCATTCCCCAGATTCAGGAGGGAGATCATCAAAGTGAGCTGGCAAGTGGGCCAGGTGCCTTTTGGGATAGCCCACGGCTATGCGGTGTGAAACGTGCAGCACCTGGCACGAAGCTGTTGCCTTTTGGCGGGTGAAGGGACGGGCAGACTGAAGCGAAGGACAGGGTGCACAGCGATAGCAACTAGCAAAAGCAGAGCGCGAGAGGAAAACTCGAGCAAAGAGTAGGGAGCATAGGGCAAGGGCAGCGAACAAGAACCAAGGAGGCTGGCCTGGAGATCACTGGGCAACTCAGTCAACAACGATTTCAAGGCATGCAAACGCGGCCTACGGGCAAAGCGGCGCCCCGCCGGTCCCCGCGCGTCCCTCACCAGCACGTCCACCGACCCATTCTCCTGCCGGCCGTCCTCTCCCTTCGCCCGCGCACCCCTGCGCACAGCCACCCACATCCCAACTCGATGAGCCCAGCCTCGCCCTGCGAACATCCCTGCGTGACAGGCACCCGCATGCGCTCCCTAGATCTCAAGCAGGACCCCCCCCGGGGCGTCAAACGGCGCCCATGTATCGCTCCAAAAAATTGCTGCCCACATGTCGAGGCGTTTCTCGGTCTTTCGCCGCTTGGCCCGCAATCTCCGCTTCTGCGCCGCCGTAGACTTGCCGCCGGCGCCGTTTTCGGCCGCGGGTGCCGCCATGATGGGCATGGTCGCGCGGTCGACGCTGGGAGTGGCGCAGTGTCAAAAAGCAGCGGCGACAAACCGGCTTGGGACAAAACCGCAGGGCGGCCCAAAAAAAACGCCCCCCAAATCAACTTAAATATACATTTATCAACATTTAAATCAACCTTTAAATTACCTTTAATCAAAATAACCTTCAAGTTCCCTTTAACTTAACTATTGTTAAGCCAACCTTTAGCCTACCTTTGAAGCCAAAATAACTAAAATAACCTCTAATGCAACATAGTGTGAAAGTAACTTGTTAGATTTCAATCCACCTTTTTATGTAAATTGAACTTTGCACAAACTACCATAAACTCACTTACCCATCACATTACCTCTAGAATACTTCTAATTTAAGTGAACCTTTAACCTTTAAATTGCCTTTTATGCCTTTAATCAAATTGGCCTCTGAGTCAACCCTTGAAACAGCACAAACCACGGCGGAAAACAGAGCAGGGCGGACCCTGGCGCCGGCCACACACGACCGCCCTAACGCTTGCGCTCTCGGAACGCGGAAAGACTCTCAAGGGCGCCTGCTGGCGCCATGGCATCCGGCCAGTGGGGCCAGCGCGAGATGGCGGGGCAGGCGCGGCAGCAGCTGCGCACGATCCTGCGATTAGCGGAGTGCGTCCTCGAGGAGTTCGACGGCCGGGTGGGCCCGGGCGGTCCCGGGGAGGACGAGTTGATCGGCCGCGCGGAGCGGCTGAGGGAGATGCGGGAGGCGGTGGAGGGGGCGAGGGAAAGGCTGACGGTGGGGCGGGGCCGAAGATTCGGTTGCGAGTTTTTGGGTGTGTTTGTTTGAGGGGGGGCGTCGCCCGCTGGGGGCTGAGATTTGTTACAGCGAGAGAAGGAAACAGGTCACACAAAGGGCAGCCCCTCCCAAGATAGCGTATGCGCGACTCTTTTCCATGCTGGGTGGTGGTGGGTGAGGTTTGTCGCAAAGAGGGAAAGAAGGGGGTAATGCGAAGGGCACCCCCTCCTAAGCAAGTGTATGCGAGACTCAGGGGGTAGGGGGGGGGGGGAGGAGGAGGGGGGGCCAGATGATTCGGGTGGATTCGCTTTTTGAAATGGCTGTTCGGGCCCCTGTCACCAGCTGGGGTTTAAGATGTTGCTAAGAGGAAAAGAAGCCGGTCGTGCAAAGGGCAACCCCTCCTAAGCAAGTGTATGCGAGACTGGGAGGGGGGGGTGGGGGCTGATGATTTTGTCTCGTGTTTGAGGTGATTGATTGGGTGTCGAGTTTGATCCTGAATACTGGGGCCGATGGCTAGGTTGGGCTTTGGGGGGCACTGGTTTGGGGTGCCCCATGCTGCCTGTCTCGGATCTTGGGGGCTCTGGGGCTGCAAAGAATTTGAAGGACCGGACATACTTGCACATAAATAGTTCTGTTTGGTACATCGATCAGCCAGTTCAACAATGTGTTCCTTGACTCGGTGTTTTCAATTCTGACTTTGTTTGTGGTTTTGCGCTCTTATGTGTGTGTGCCTCATGCTGCCCAGGTGCTGCTGCGCACTTGCGACGAGGCGTCGCGAGTCGATGGCGCAGAGGCGCCGCAGGGGGATGGCACGTTGGATGGTGAACTTGCAGGCGAACGTGAACAGGAGACCTCGGAGCAAGCAAAGGTGGAGGCTCTGGAACGCAGGCTGGAGGAGCTGAAGGAGGAGGTGAGGAAGAAGAACAGGATGGTCAAGGGGATGATCGACCTGCTGAGGAACATGTGCAACGACTTTGTGATGTGGGATTGCTGTGGGAAAATGAGCTCGGCTGCGAAATAATTGGGGCGGTGGTGGAATGGCCTGGCAGTGGGGCCTGGCAGCTTGTGGCAGACAATGGGACGAAGGTTTGGGAGTCTCAACCAGCCGATGGGGCAACGAGTGGCGGAGGCATTGTTGGCGGCTGATCCAAGGTAGGAGGTTCGAAATGTGGCAGTGAAACAAACTGGAGTTTGTTGTCTTGTGTACACCGTTTTCCTCTGTGGGAGAGGGAGAAGGGGGTTGGGGGCGGGGGGTACATGACAAGCTGCTTTTTGTTGTTGCAGTAAGTCTTCTGGCAAAGACACAAGGACAGGCCTGTTGTTGTAGTTCACGATTGTAGCTGTAGGATTGCAGGATCGTGGGATTGTTGCTGTTGCTGTTGTTATTGCCAGTAATATTATTATTTCCTTAAATACATGGCGTTCGCTAAGCCCGACTTCGCTCCCAACAGCATAAACATGATGTCAACAGGCTGTGCCACCTTTTGGCGATGTGGTTCAGTAGCAGTAATAGAGAAGGGATGTCCATCTAAAGCAAGGTTCATGTACAAAGGTGGCTGCTGACTGGGAGCATTGGAGTCATCAAAATGTAGGTGGCTGTTGTTGTTGTTGTAGGATTGTAGTTGTAGTTCAGGATTGTAGTTCAGGATTAGTTACATAGATTCCAGTTTCAGGGTTTCTGCACGTGCCACCAAGGCATGTGCAGCAGGCGTGCATGTGTCACATGCAATGCATGCTGTGCTGTGCATGGTTTTCAATGTTATGAGCAAACCCATTCTCCCAGCTGATGCAAGTGCGCTTCTTCCTACATCGACGCCTGGGGCAGTCTAAAGGAAATCCAGGTTGCTCACATTTGTCAAACCATAACAAAACACTGCACTGTCGCAGCAACGCCAAGAAACTCTTGATGTGGCATGCTGTATTCTTGGTGAGGGATGCCCATCGCATGTGGAAACAGTGAAGTTACTTTGTACAAGTTGAAATCTGCCACAATTCCTTTGTCCACCTGCAGATAAATCAATGCCTTCTGTCGTTCCAGAACACTTCATCATACTTGGAAATGAAGAGATGACTGGGCTCTCCTGATCATCATTGCTGTGATGGGACTCGTGCAGATTTCCTGGCTGTGGGCATAGTGCCAGTGTGTTTTCTTCCTGGAGTTGGCGTGCTGTCCTATTTCTGCACAGAACCGACTGATTTTCCTAGTCCTGGAATATTGGCTCACCTTCAATGCCTACAATGAATGAAAGACAGCCTCGTCTTCGATCACATGCAAACCTGTGCATCATTTCTATGTGGATGAGGAAGTGGGGAAGAAGCTGTGGCTTGCAGATCACAAATTGTGGTCATTTCAGCCTGTCGCCTCAAAACCCACCACCGTGGCCACCCGTGGCCATTGTCACATGCTGTCCACAGTCTAGTTTTACCTGCGTTGAGTGTGACACCCTGACAGCAGCATCGCATATGTTTGACAGGGGAGAGCACCATTGTGCGGCATGGCTTGTGGGGGTCAAAACGAAAAGAAGAGGCTGATGGCGACCAACGGATCTCCGCATGATGAAGCAGTTCTCTGCGAGGGCCGATCGATGTTGTGACATGGCTACAGAGCAAGAGACTGCAAAATCTTGTCTTTGCTAAGGTCACAGTCTCATCGTTGGGCTTGCGTGTCTGTTGCGATTTGCTTCTCTAAGTTCGCCTGATGCTGGACGATTGGTGTGCTGCCAGATGGACTTTTAGTAGTGATGCAACACTTGGAATACTTTGGAATCTAGCAAGGAAAATAAATTGATGTGCTTACTTGTGTTCCAGAGCATTGCACCACAATCACGATTGTGGTGCCAGTGGGGCTTGATCAAGTTGAGGCGCTCTCAGCGGAGGCACGATTGCTGGGTGGCAATGTATTGTCAGCAACTTATTTTGCAGTCCCATGTGCTGCTTGTGTCAATTCCATTCCAGATTGCAGTCGCCAGTGTGGATCCATGTAATGGGAAGCCATTGGCATACCACGTCGGGTATATGCTTGGACGATGACTGAACCACGACGAAAGGTCAGATCGATTCACTTGTTGGTACCTTGTGTGCTGAGAAGGATTTCTGTGAGGACCATGCAAAACATACATCTGATTCACTGGTCGGTGTGTTGCGTGATCAGAAGGATTTATCTGGGAAGACCATGCAAAGCACCCATCGGTTTATCGGTGTTCGTTCATCTAAGGTGTTTGTTTCTGTGTGAACTCAACCCAGTGCAGCAGTCAGGAATCGTAGCATGAGACCTCACACATGTGACTGCTGTTGACCAGCATCATGGTGTTTTCAATTGTCAAGACCTTCCTAGCAAAAGCAGCACAGCAATGTAGAACTAAACACAAAGTATTACACTCACTGTGACTTACACGGTGTTCCCTTCCCTATCGCCCATTGCATCGACGTTGAAAATTTGTGTAACGTTACAGCACCCTGCAGGTGCCGTGTTGCGTTATGCTGCGGGTGGAGGGCGTGATGGATCATTGACGCATTGCGCTGAGCACACTCCAAGCAGGGCAATTCGCGCTGGAGACTCAGTGGGGCTGCCCTGGTCTCCCAATTGGTTGAGATGAAATGCGCTTTTCTTCTTTTTCTTTCTTTTCCTTTCGAGCCACGTTGCCAAATGGCAGCCGATTCAGCTGGCCCTCAAGCTTCTGGGCGCACGGCAGCCACTTGCAACCTCCTCCCAACTCGCGCACACGGCCAGACGCACTTCGGGGCCTTCGCACAGTGCTTGCATTCATTGCCAGGCACCGCCAGCTTAATGAAAGGGCTCGCCTTGTCATGTGCTGACAAGTGTTTAAGTAATAGACTTGCGCACACAGCCACGCAAAGCGTTGCTGCAGCGACCCTGACCGTGTGTTACATGCTGTGACATATTCTTATCATAACGGCAATGACAATCATCGCTGTGTACTACGCCATGTGGGGCTGCTCCAAGGCGAGGTGAACTTAATGCCAGTAATACCGCCAAACGACTTTCAGCAACTCAGCACCCTTCAATGGCCAGAATTGGGTGACAATGGGAGGCATTTTGGTGTTGGCCCACGCTGCTGGCCGTCACATCGCTTGCCGCCCAATGGAGGCGTTGTACCCAGCATGAGTACCGGTGCAAAATCTGCCACCAACACATCTGCATGTGCTCCACACAGAGCGGCGGGTGCCCTAAGGGCCATGACGCACAATCGACTTCGGAACATTGATTTCAAATTTAAGAAGCTGTCGAGCATGGACGTCACAGCAATGCCCGGGGTAGGTGTGCACACAGATTTGCCCCAATGAGGTCTCCATTATCGGCGACATTCAGAACTGAATGCATACTTCCTTGCCTTGTGATGTAAAACTTGTAAATTGCATACAATGAGCTGAGGCGGTTTGATGATGCCAAATTTATGAATTCTCCCGTTCTGATGCATAGCAACTTGGTGGTTGGATTGTAGGAATGTCTTCTCGAGTCATGTGGGCGAAGACACTATGTCGATTTTGTTACACTTAACGTTAAATTGACGCTAAGGAGGGGAATTTCTTGTGACGCTAAGAGATTATGTAGTTGCCACAACTTCTTGCAAGTGTTTGATCTGCGCAGAAGGTCTTAGAGTGGATTAATTTGCAGCCATTGAGGCTGTACGCCTCGCCTACAATGGCATTTAGAATCCCATTTTCCAATCCACCGAAATCAGCAAATTTCCAACTGTTTTTTTCCTTCAAAACCGCCTAGAAGTTGTGTACCACAGTCAGGTAATGTTGCTGACTCATCCTTGCATTGACATAAGGATTTATGCCAAGGAAGGGGGGACCTCAAATTGATGCTAAGTGTGTAACAAAATCGACATAGCGCCTTCCCCAACAAGTCGTGAATACTGCTTTGCTCGGGCGAAATGGGGAATTGATGGCTGCATCCTTGCCTTGGTATTATTGTCGCCTTGATGTAAGCTTCTCTGATGACGATGACGGAATCACCACAGTGAAGTCGGCCGCCCGGATGGGACGCCTTCCGGCCCACTGGCGCGTTCAAAATCAGGCAAGAAACAAGTCTAGAAGGGTCGAAGGGCCGCACGAATAGCGACTGGCGGTAAACTTGACTATTTTTGCGTTGATGCAACGCCTGGGGCGCATTTGCCTGTAGCAATGTTGCCAGGCCATAGGGCCAAGGTAACTGTCGCACGAGCGAATAATCGTCACCGTTATTCTATCGCAACAGGGGCAGGCTCAGTAAAGTGTCGGGCAATGGCCGCTGCCTTCTTTTGTGAAAGCACTGCATCATGTTCACAATCGCAAGCCTCGTGACGCCCACCCCCCACATGAGGACCAATATCACGGTATGGAAACGGACCAGCGGAGGAACACCGTTGGGGCAAGGAAACCAGCAACAAAGTGAAAGCAAAAGGTCAACAAAAGGTGAATGAATATGCCAATTTCACAGCTCCTGCCCATGCTCACATTGTGCGATTCTGCTGACAATCTTGGGTACAGACCATGTTCCAACAGGGCCAAGTCAAGTACTGAAGATCACGGAGGATAGCGCAGGGGCTGCTGAATAGCAGGGGGGCTCTTATATAGCGGCCCCTGAGGTATTAAACATGGCCACCGCTGCAGAGCGTGGGTGATATGTTGAATAGCGCGAGCGGTATTCATCTCCCATGATTGAGCATCCTCGCTCACCATCAGAAGATGCAGCGACGCAGTGCAGGAAGTCGCAAAAAAGTTATGGCGACGTCTGCCGACTTTTACCCTGATTAACGTCGCACTTTATACCTATATTTAATGTTTAATTGGTCTGGCTGTCAATGCAGCAACGTAGAGGCGTTACTGATTCATCGACTTGATGCAGAACGCGGGGGTCGTCATGTAAGATAGCGCGGGGGCACGCAAGATAATGGCCCCCGCGTTCTTGAGACGAGCCCTGATGCTCATCGCTGGAAGGGGGCGCTATCCTCTGATCTATGGTAGTCTTAATTTTCATGCAGTTATATTTCATTGATTGATCCATAAAATAATCAATCAACTGGACATTTGATTCATAACTGCGTTTCTGGTGCTGAGCTCACAAGTGGAAAGTGCTCAAGGCTGGCGGCCAAACAAAATTTGCACCCAAGTGCATCCTGCTCATCACATATAACAAACCCCCTTCTTAATAGTTGTTGCGATCTCTTCCTGTCACAGTTTCTGGCCATGCCCAACGTCAATCAAGCATCTCCACAACAAACCACGTGCATTCTCCCTTGGTGACTTTTCGTTTCCACAGAGAGGACTTCTGGGCACATCTGACTAAAGCAATCGGCCAAACCTGGCTGCATGGCTTCCCGTGCTATGGCATCGCCAACCCCAATGCCCTCCTTCAGCAACCCAACACTCACGCCAATAACTGCTTCCAAACAGCCATCAGCTACATATCTGTGCCAGTTGAGGTTGAGTGACCCGAACACTGGAGATATCTTACAAACGTGTGTCCTGTAGGGAAGGGGGGTGTTTGTGCTGTGATGCGAAGCTTGTTCATGGCTGTGATGGGGTGATTTTGGGGAAAGCATTCCTGGCGAGGGCAATGAAAATTGGACACACCATGCTGGAGTCAAACCAGACAGGAACAGTAACCTGTCAGAGTATATATGTGGCGCTGCCGTGTAAGAAACATCCCTTGTTAGGGACTCAAAGGCGGACTCTCCTTTCCCCGCATCCCCATGAGGGCGATCGCTCCACACAAGGGCGCACCGTCGTGATAGGGCACAACCCCGCCAGGCCAGCCGCTAGCGAGCCGCGGGTCATGATCCTGGGGGGCAGCACCTCGGTGCTTGCTTGACAGGGGTCACCCCCGGAGATGTCGACCACCGATCTGTTCATTCATTAATGAGCTCAATGCTCAGTACACTCCATTAATTATAATGTGTGGGGCCTTATGCTTGGTGGGAATTTGGCGGCCCCAAGGGGAGGCCAAAGCCGCCTGGGTCGCCGCAGTTCCCTCCCAACAGCACGGGCGGCCTTGCAGCGGCCGCGCCGCGCCATGCCGCTTCCAAGGCGCCCCCCGTGGGCTGGCGCCTCTGCATCTCATAAGCCCTCGAACAAGATTCCCGCAAAGCTTCGCGGCAATCGGACACCAGGGGGAATTGGCGTCCCCACGAGCATCCAAGGGCATTCCTGTTTGCCACTCAAGGCATGGAAGGGGGGTTCTTGAGGGCGGGGTCGGCTGGAGATTTCTCTTGCACGGCTTGGGGGTGTTATCGAGCCGGCATCAGGCGTGTGTGGGTGAGCGCTCGCGTCTCGGCGGGGCCGGCGGCTGCCATGGAGTTTGCTGCCATGGGAATTGGCACCATAGGATGAACTGCCGCGGGATCTGCTGCAGTGGTATTCGCTGCCTTGGGGGAGATTTCCTGCCATGGGATGTGCTTCGGGGGGATTTGTTGCCATGATTGTGGTGCCACGGGATTTCCCATTGTTGGCATGGGATTTGTAGCCGCCTTATTTGTTGCCACGGGAATTTGCTGGTTGTCGCTCCCGGCTTGCCTGGGGTGAAGAGGTCTCAAGCGCTGCCTGTGCCTGCTGGCGCCCAGCAGTTGTGTGCATCTGTTTTGTTGCTTTGTTGAGGTGATCTGCCAACCCCGCTGAGTCTTGTGTTTGTTGTTGTTGATGTGCAGAGCTGGGCGTGATCCGGACCACGGGAGTGCTGCCAGAGGCGCTTGTGAGGACTCTTCAAGCCAGGGTTGGTGTTACGGATGTTGTTGCACTGCCCGCTTGGCTTTCTGTCTGAAGCATGGTGGCCTTTTCCTTCTTTAGATAGAAATTTGCAATACATGATGTCACATTCTAGTGTCCCAGGGGCCAATTCCGTCCTAACAAAAGAGCGGGTGCTTTCTTGGTGTTCTTTCACTGCTCTGGCGTTTGGGCTTGGCTTGAGAGGCGACTGTGTTGGGAAGTTTTTGTGTAAGCTCAGTCAGGGCATCACCTTTGTTGCTTTCTGACAAATGTAGTAAAGGGACTTGCTTTTGGAAGCAAGCTCGTCGCCTCATTTGAGGCCATAAATCAGTGCCATTTGGGTGGGTCAGTTGTTCGTGGTCAGGTTCGTTGTGTTGTCATCCGGAATGATGAACAATGTGATATTCCACAATCCCAGACGCCTCTGGCTCATGGTGATTTCACATGCTCCCACTGATCCTGGATGTGGTCATCGGTGGCCTTGTTTGCAATGCATCTGATATGCTCAAGCTCAGTTTAATTGTTCAGGTTAATTGCAGTTCTGTTTTGAAGCAACCGTTTTGATCTCTGCATTTGGTGCATAGCTTCATTATCAAGGTCAAGGACACAGATTCTGGAAGGATGGACTGCAAAGCCCAGTGTACGAATGGATGGCATCGAATAGAGAGACGTTTGTTGCATGTGTGCTTGACGTAATGTGTAGGCTGCCTGCCCAGCATTTGTGGCGTCATGTGAACATGTTGCATTTGTCAGCATGGACACATCTGGGACATGTTTGCTCATATTCTGGCAGGCTTGGATGTTTGTTGCACAGTCACAGGGACAAATTGAGGGGCTGGTTGTCTCCAGGGTGCTGGAGTTGCAGATAGCCAGTGCCAGGCAGCTGCCCTCGATTAATGAAAAGCCAAACAAGGTCACTTGAGGGCACAGAGTAGCACAACATGTGTTGGTTACCATCAACAGTGGGCATGCATGCTGCAACATTCATGGTGGGTTGATCAATCTGCACAGAGTGTGCCCGGGAAGCCCCACTTGTTTCTGGTGAACAGTGTGTCCATTATCAGCCAGTTGATCAGTGCCACAGTGGTGGTCGATGATGCTCAATATGCGTTATCTTTCTGAATTCCCCTGTGTGGAAGCCATACATTGCTGAGGCCAGCCTGTGGTGTCCTGTCTCTGTGCCGTTGTTTCGCCTTTTCTTCATGCAGTCTCATAAGTACTAGGCAAGTGGCCGCGGGCGCACATTGCACAACTCGCACCAGTGTACACGCAGAGATACACAGCTCACTGCTCAAATCATCGGTGATGTGTTTCATGGGATTGACTCACTGACGCGCAGAAACTTGCTTTCTGCCCTGAGGATAATTCCGAAACGTCTGAGAGATTGGAGCGAGCCAGGGCTGCAGTTTTGCACGTGCCGATGAGGAATCGAAACTTGCAGGATCAACTGGCTGAGTGGCCCTGTGCCGCTGCTGAATGCATTGAATTACCTGAGGCACACAGTGCTGGAGGACATGCGCATCTACTGTATATTCTATGTTTGCACAGAATGCTGTGTTCACTTTCCATCGCAGATTTCGCTTTGCCTGTTTTGTTAATTGCTTTGTTTTGTTGGTCAAGCTGGATGGGGTTCAACCCAAAGTCTGCACTGTGCCAATGTTGAAACAGAACTTAGACAATGTTGTCTCGTCACATAACAACTATGTACAAATGTACCTGCTGGTTGCGGACCAGATCCAATACACAGGTACACAGGGATTCTTTGCAGATTGCAATTTGCTGGCCTTCTGCCCTGATATATTCCAGCAACCAATACCAGGTCACAAGTCTAGATAAGAGCACCAGGCATGCCCATGTGCCCAGTGACGAACTGAACTTTGCAGGATCAACTGGCTTAGTGGATCTGTGCCGCTGCTGCAAGCATTGATTTGTCTGAGGCAAGCGAACTGTCCTAATGGCAAAGGTCTCTTATGGTGCGCAGCAAGTCGCAGTTTGTGTACCTGCAGCATTGAGATGGGATGCACTTGCAACTCAACCAAACTGTGGCATGCCAGTTTTGCCCCCCTTTGTGTCCCACCTGTTTCTTCATTTTCTGTTGGGCCATATTCTGCCATGCCACAGTGGGCCATGTGCAGGACTCGCAATGGGGCTGCCAACCTCGTGCTTGCTCTCATTAGGTGTCCTCGCAGACAGAAAACGTCATTGAACACAGTCACGCTGCCAGCGCCAACTCGTTGCACTGGCTGCCCTCCCCAGATTGTTCAACATCAGTGCCCTTCAGGGCCCACCTGCCACAGTGAGCGCCATACTGACTTTCAGCAAATCGATGGAATGATTAATCGATTTATTGATTGACTGTTGGATTTTTTTGTGGCAGGTTTCACAGGTGGTAATCGGATGAAGTCACCATTCACAAGGAACATGCCTTCCTTTGCAGATGCAGATGCTCGAGAAGAATCAATGAAATCGATTCAGGTGCCTTTCTCGTTATGGGGTGCAGAAGGACACTGGAGAGACTGTATCCAGTGGCTTTTTGCCAGCAGTCTGTGCAGTTGCTGTGCGCTGGACCACTGCATGGTTATGGGCCCAACTCGAAATGAGGATTATTGTGGTGTATTGCAGCGTTTTGTGTTTGGTTATTTGGCAGGCTTGGCTGGCGGGTTGGCTGGCTGGTCATCTTCATTCGCAGTGCATTCGGACAAGCCAGAGACGATTGGGGAGCCACGGCAGTAACTTTGGCCTGGCAAACAAGGACAGATGCTGTCAAATGTCAGGGATGTGGCCTTGAACATTTCGATTGCGATGCGATGACTGGCACAGGGATGGGGACCGATTAGAAACACGGGTTTTGACCCATTCAGTTGTTTCTTCAATTTTACTTCATTGCCTCGGTTTGTGTTCCATGTCAACTCCTTGCCGCTTCTGATTGGGATGCCACACACTGTCCAGCACTGGAGCAGGCCACTTATGGGGAGTTGTGCTCGAGCTGTTTTAAATGCACACCAGTCCAGTGATCGTACTGCATGAGAGGGGCCAAATATGCCACCAGGACAGTTGTGCATAATCGAACATAGAGAGCATGTATGTTTCATGCCGCAAGGGGACACACCAAATGCAATGACGTTCAGCAATTCTGTTTAAGGTTAGGCGGTTGGCAGATGACTCAAACCGCTACCTTGAATGCTCACAAAAAGTGCAGGCTCCACACACTCACACACTCACCACCGGCTTAACGACACCCAGTTACAGCCTCGCAAGGCGGCTCCAGCATGGAACTTGGGCTTGCATATGTGTGCATATCTCTCCAATTTCGAACACAACTGTCCTTGTCCACTGCGGCACGGAGCACGACAAGTCTTCTTCCTCTGTCACAACCATCGGCCTGCCTATTTGTAACCCCGGTTCCAAATCATCATCAATGCATCCAACAGCTTGATCACATGCCAACGCAGCACATAGCCAACTGTGAAAAACGCAATAGGCGTCTTTTCACTCAGAACGGTTACATGCTACTAGAACACGGACCCCCATCACCATCGAAGCACAATGATGAGCCAAAAATATAAGAAAGAAGTCCGGTCTTTCAACTCCTGTCCACCAAAAAGGCGCTGCATTCTTGATTGTTCATGTCGTTCATGTGGCCATTTGTAAGACTCCAAAAACATGCTGGCCAAAAAAATTGAAGAGCAAGATGCAAGCTCTGTGAAGGTGTGGGAAACAGATCCACCACTTCCCCACAAGAATTTTAATGGACAAGATACCTTGACCAAGGCATTTCTCTTAAATTTTGCTGCTCCTGCGGGACCCCCCTGAGTGCATGTTTGCTTTTGGTGTGTTGCCTGTGTGTTGTGCTCACCCTGTCGCACTCGGAGACTCTGTATCATCTTATCGTAGTATGGAAAAGAGTCTCACAAACACCTGCTTAGGAAGGGGGGGAGTGGCCCGTGTACGACCTATTTCTCGATGTAACAAACAAATCTTATCTTAAATTTTGCACACTGCTTTCCACATGCTTCATACAAACAAGAACGCGGTAGAAAAGACATCCCATGAGCTAACTAAGGTCAAATTAAACCAGCGTTCTTTCAGAGAAATTAATCAATATTTTCAATCATTTTCGAAGTGGAGCTCAGCCGGCTGAGCCACGGCGCCGTGGCCATCCAATGCAACAACCAACGCTTTTAGAAAGTAGAGCAAACGCTAGCCAATGAACATAATTGATCCACCCAGGTGAAATTATGGTCATGATGTGTTTGCACAGCCACATGTGGGAAAGGAGTGGTCCAAGAAAAGTGCTTTACAAATTGCTACAAAATTTGGTACTGGAGTTTTACTACATAATAGGAACGTGTGCTAGATTTGCCTGGAAGGGCATGAAGGCTGTTGCAGCCTCTGTCTGCCTCATTTTGCTTTTAGTGCAATAACTTTGTCTCTTAGGGTCCACGGCCTGGACCCCTCCCCCCAGCTTCCATTGGGCGCTAAGCTTTAGGCTTGGCTTTAAAGCCACAAATTTGGGTATACCATAATTCAAACTACCCCCTTCCCCTTATGTAGTAATGTTAATCCTCGCAGTACATGAGCTGCACAGCGTTCCAACAGCGTCACCTCAGTCTCAGCCGCCAGCACGCCCTGAACCCCAAGAACAAAATTGCCAAAAAACAAGTATTAGAGCAAAAATTCAAACCAAAAAACAACCAAAAATGGGGCAGAAACCAATTTGGTCCTTCAACCACGACCAAACGTCCCTGGCCGCCCGGCCTTTGACCAAAAACCAGAACCGCCGGCTCCGCCTTGTCGCCGCGTCGCCGAGATGCCTCTTCGGGGGGCCGCCTCGCGCATTGGCGCCCTCCAGCCGCTGGGGACCCTCCTGCGGCCCTTGGCGTCGGATGCGATGCGCTGGGCGTCGGGCGGAGCGGCAGAGATCGTGGGGGTGGCTGGAGATGGGCCGACGGGGAGGGGGGCCGGATCGGCGGCGGAGAATTCGGTTCAGGTGCTGCGGGAGAAGTTGAAAAGAGGTAGGGGTTTGGGGTCGAGATTTTTGTCGTCGTGGTGGTGGGGAAGATTGTTTGTTGCAAGACAGAATAGCGAGGAATAATCCCACTTTTCCTCCTCCTTTAAGGGGATTTAGGGGCATGTGTGTAGTGATGGCGGGGAAATATTGTTGCAAGACAGAACTGTTACACATGTTATAAGACAGAATAACAAGGCGTAGCCCACTTTTCTAGGCGAGGAGATTTGGCGGGATTCGTGTGGTGATGGTGGGGGAAGATTTTCACAAGACAGAATAGCGAGGCATGATCGCACTTTTCCTCCATCTTTAGGGAGTTTTAGCAAGATTTGTGTGGTGGGGAGTGAATGAATGAATGAATGAACATCCTTGCAGGCAACGTGAAAATTCGACACCTTGGTCATGTCACGTATCTCTGCTGGACTCAGATAGTCAGACAGCATCCCCTTGCTGGCAGTCTACTCTGACCTCACAATGATCGGCAAAGAACCCAACCCCACAGCATCAAGGAACACAATGCGCACAGGTCCACAGACAGCAACACCCTCAGGCGAGAACCCTGATGAATGTTCATATCCCCATCTCTGTCATCCGTCCATTTGCCCAGTCGACGCTTCCATCAAGTGTTTGGTGGGGAAGATGTTGTAAAGATTTTAAGCCAAGAGAAAGACGGGTCGCACAAAGGGCAGGTGGGTGTGATACCCTTCTTCATGCTGTGGAGAGATGGAGTGGAGTCTCTCAGCGTGAGAGGTCAAGCAGGGGGGCTGGGGTGTGTGGGGGAGTTTTGTTGCACTTCAGGAGAAACAGGTTGTACAGAGGGACAGGTTCCTTAAGACTCATACATACAGTTAAAGGCTTTGTAGAGTCTGCCTTTGTGGGTGCGGAATGGGGTGGGTTGGCATTCTGTTAGGCACATTGGGGAAGACACCGTTAGAGAAGCTGCGTGAAAAGCCCAGCAAAGATGGGAAGAATCTGAGGGGGTCGCCAAATTTTTGAGTTCAACAAAATGTGAGTTTCCGTTTGATTGTGATAAACAAACCATCTGTGCTTTGGAATCATTGGTGGTGCATCCCCACAGCTAAAATGTTCCATCTTGTTGCAATGGATCCTTGACGGGGGACGATGGTATAGGCTTTCTTTTTGGCAAGTGGGAAGAAACCATGGCAGACAATGGGCTTCCCCACCTGCTGAACATGCTCTTGCGGAGCAACAATCTCGAGGTTGATCCCACGACTGCCCTGTGAAGCCAGGGGCATCACATAAATACATCAACTTGTGAAAATGGGGATCTTGGACTGTCTTTGGTTGCATGTTATGCATGCGGACCCACGTTGGTCACCAGTGGACATACCTGCAGTTGGAAGACACGCATGGGAAGGAGGAAATGCTATCACTGCTTCCAAGGGAAGGGAAAACCCTTGGATTCTCTTGTCACATATGCTTGACAAACAAAGAACGTGCACGTTGCAGCTTTTCTGCTGCTGTTGAGAGCACCCAACATTACCTGTTTTGTGCATGGCAGTGCATTGTCAAGTCTCTGGACAAATACAACAACCAGCATTTGCACCTTGTCGTTGATGATGTGTGCAGAGATATCCAGCATGTACTTATTCAGTGTCCTAGGATAGTGTTCCTGAACACAAAGATGCAAGTGCGGGGGCCGTCGATTCTGACAAATGGGATAAATGGGTCGGCTAGGAAAACAGGAGGCGCATTTCCACACAACCCCGCACAGGTATATCGTTGGCCACTGCAGGGAGTGTGAAAGTGGCTGCGCATTTTGTTGCAGGCCCTGACTTGGGAGATTTTCTTTCTGGAGAAGGCTCGCTACCAAGTGGATATTCAGTGGAACCAGTACATTGGAGGGTATGTGAAACTGGTTCAACCTGGCCATGCCGATGTGTGTGTGTTTTTGGTCTGTTTTTTTGTCGCCTTGGAATGGCAGTGACATCGTTTGGCTTCTTTGTGACAGTTCAGATGTGGACCGCACATCGTCATTTCTAGTCATAGTATCCATTTCTGTCAAGGCAGTGCTTGCTTGTGGGTTCCTGCACCAAACTCTGAGGACGAACTTGTGTGGTATGGACATGAACACGTGTGACCATGCACAGACTGCAGAAGACTGCAAAAAGAAACGCAAGAAATCTAAGCAAATCCAAAGAACCCCAAAAACGAATCCTGATGTGTGCCCTTTGGGGATGATGGGGGTTCCACTGCTCCAAAAAACTGCTTGAGTAACAGCAGGGCGCTCATTGTGCAACATGTGACCTTGTAAAGGAAGGATTGTCTTCAAAAGATGATCTGGTACTGACTTTGCTTGTGACTTGGGGGCCATGCTCGTGCAGCAAAACAGCCCGAGTGTATGAACTCTCTTGACCAAGCATCCCAAGGTCCTCTGCAACACCTCCCTGCATGGCAAGCTATTAGCTGCATGCAAAGATAAGATAACATGATAAGACTCACAGCCTTTGGACACAGCCAATGCTATGATGTGCAAGGGGTCTGTTCTGAAGTCTTCTTGATTCCATTGTGCTCCATTCAATAACTGACTGGCCAAGGATCCCAAGATAGTATGCCCATCAGGGACGTTGTCACTGATGTGGATGTATGCTTGACAGTCACTGCCTCCTGTAGGACAGAAAGAGGAAGCCGGATTGGATGAAGCGCATCGTCCCCGGCGGTGACAAGTACACCCAAATCAAGGCGAAGCTTCGGGAGCTGAACCTGCACACTGTGTGTGAGGAGGCGCGCTGCCCCAACCTTGGGGAGTGCTGGGGTGAGTGGCAAATGCAGTGCCTTCCCAAGGAATGCCATGGGCAGTGGGCGTGCTGCAGCACTACAATGTACTTAAGCACTGCTTTCTACCACAGTATTACATGTTTCCACAGTACTGCTTCATGCCACTGTACAGCATCGCACTGCAGCACTGAATCGTACACCTGTACAGCATCGTACTGCAATATTACAGAGCGACTAATACAGTGGGTGTCCAAGGCTGCTGCGTTACGGGCACTGAGTGGCCCAAGCCTTTGCTCATGTGCCAATCTGGGAGTTCATACGGACGCATGAATAAACCCAGTTTGACTGGAGATGTTGAGTGATGTGTTGGGGAAAATCGGAATGGGCCATGTGGCTCTGATGATGCCATCGCCCACAAGGTAGCGGCTGTGGATGGGGTGCAGCCTGCCAGCACATATTAATGGTTTGTTTTCACGATAATGGTGAGTTGGTTTGCATTCTTACCAAACGATGAATGGGCAAAAGCAGCATATCATGTTACTGTCCGTTGTGTTGTGACCCAAAAGTACAATGTGAATGGAAGTTGCTGAGCACCCTATGCGCTCCATGTGCAGTGGAAGTCTGCAACAACTGCGTGTACGATTGGGCATTTGCTACTTGATTTACCAACTGTGCTATAGTTACGTCATTGTTCTCCACTACTTGAATTCTTCTTTGCCAAGTACTTATGAACTGCCCACTCCTTTTTGCCATCATTCTGTTTAGGTCCTTTGAGGCTCTTGAAAGCACTCCTTTTCGAAGCACGATAGTAATCGCAGTGTACATTAAAGTGTGCAGGAACTGAACTCATTCACCACTGTGCGCAGGTGGCGGAGATGGCCACACTGCAACGGCGACAATCATGCTGATGGGTGACACCTGCACCCGGGGCTGCCGCTTCTGCGCTGTGAAGACCTCCCGCGCCCCGCCTCCCCTGGATCCTAAGGTGCGTGATTCTTTCCGCTAGGGAGGCTCTATTTCATCGTTTACCAGCAAGGAAAAGAGCCTCACAATCATTTGCTTCGGAAGGGGCTGCCTTTTGGATGAGATACTTTCTTTGATTTGTAACAAATTTTACCCCCTTGTAGCCCCATGGAAGTTACGACCATACCATCGTGAAAATACTCGAATCCATCAGATCTCGAAAGTCAAGCACGATTGGGCCGGATTAGTCCTTAGATGAGGGATCTCTTGGGAAGTACTGGTGCTGTAATTCTAAAGCAATGAACGGACACTGAGTTGTGAACAAACATTTGCTTGGATTTCGTGCCCAACATGGCCTACAAGGGCAGTGTTTTGTCACGATGATGTGCCAAATGTAACCAAACGAACTGATGGACCCCAAGGAACCGGCCAACACAGCCAAGGCAGTGGGCGCCTGGGGCGTGGACTACATCGTCCTCACCAGCGTGGATCGGGACGACCTGCCCGACGGGGGCTCTGCGCACATCGCAGAGACCATCAAATTGTTGAAGGCGGAGACGGGGGGGCGGCTGCTGGTGGAGGCACTGGTGCCGGACTTCCAAGGGAGGAGAGAGTCCGTGGAGGAGGTGGCGCGCTCGGGGCTGGACGTCTTTGCGCACAACGTGGAAACTGTAGGTGGTCGGCGGCGGGGCGAATTGTTGGCAATGACTCGTTGACACAAGCATTGACGTTCTCAGCCGTGAATCATTGACTAGGAGAGAAGTGCTGTGACACTAAATGGGAAGCGCATACCATATCAAGGGACACAATGCAATGCACAGCCCTGCTCGGACATAAAATGTGTGTGATACTGATGTTGTACGAATTTTCCAATTCAAGTAGTTATTTAGTTAGTTAATCGAAGGTATTTTCAATTAAAAATGATGCAGGAGTGTCTGAGCGCAACAGGAAGACACACAGCACAGGGCAGCTCGCGTAGCAACAGGACACATGCACATTTTTATTTTCATTGCATTCTCATCCGTTACTCGACTGGTTTATTGACTTACGCATTATCTGCTGTGTGTGTGTGTGGGGGGGGGGCGGGGTGGGTGGGTGGGGTGGGGGGGGGGATTAAGCATGGGGGCGAAAATGTCCACGAAGCGCATGTGCTGACAAACCCCTTTCAGGAGCAGGGTGGCAAGACACAGTTACTGTGCTACACAACTACAGCACTGTACTATAAAGCACCAAGTCTTGCACCACTTTTCCCCAAGCAGTGTTTGAGACGGTTCCACCCCTGCGCCCCCACGGGCCCCAGGTGAAGCGGCTGCAGGGCGCCGTGCGCGACCGGCGTGCCAGCTGGGACCAGAGCCTCTCCGTCCTCAAGATGGCCAAACAGAGCGGGGCAAAAATCTCTAAAACGTCCATCATGCTGGGGTGCGGCGAGAGCCCCCAGGAGGTGATGGCCGCCCTGAGGGAGCTCCGGGACAATGGCGTGGACGTCGTCACCCTTGGCCAGTACATGAGGCCGACCAAGAGGCACATGGCAGTGGCCGAGTATGTGACGCCGGGGGCGTTCAGGGCCTACGAGCTGGCAGCCAAGGACATGGGATTCCTGTACGTAGCGTCGGGGCCGATGGTGCGGTCGTCGTACAGAGCAGGGGAGTACTTCCTGGCGAATGTGTTGAGGGCGGGGGAGGGGGAGGGAGCCACTGCTGCTGTCGGGGGCTGAGAGCTCAGATGGGGGTGCTTGCAGCTTCATGGACGCCAATTTGTTCGTTTTCTGACAACTCCATGACGAATTTGTACTTTTAGTAAGTTCTAATGAATTTTGTAAACTTTGTAGTGAAGGGAGGCTGCGTGGGCCCATTCTCGAAGGTGGTTCCGTTTCGGTTACATCTGCGAGAGTTTGAATGGAATGATGTAGCTTGCCGCAACGCCCATGTTTGTCTTGACGACTAGAAGCTTGCAAGCAGTACACCGTGGCTCCAAAATGCCACAGGTTGCTTTGGCAACAAGGAGCTAGAAAAGCAGTATAATTTGGCTCCAAAATGTCTGAATTTGCTTTTATGACAAGGAGCTAGAAAAGCAACGCATTGTGGCTCTGTCCGGCAGTGGTAGATGTCCCAGTAGGCCAGCAACCTCGAAGCTCTTGCACTTAATGGGAACTGCTCAGAACCGCTGCTCTCTTTGTCCCCCTGAACAACAGTTTATTAGTGTGCGGACGGATGCTACATGGGTCACCAGCAACAGCAGGATTTGATCTTAGCAAGGCTTTGATCGTAGGAGGAAATATACACCCAGCAGCAGTTGAGCGTGGGGCAGCAAACGTTGCTGAGGCTATCTCCCTGCAAGACAATCAATTCCAGTCAAAGCAAGGGCTTTGCTTTGCTGTTCACAACAAGCACTCCAAGATTTCAAACGTCGCAGGGGACGGTTGCGTGACACCTCAGCAAGGCAGTACTGTGATCGAAAGTTGCGCTGAAATGTTTTACACCTGCTGCCTCTATCGCATCCAATCCCCATTCCCCACCTCTGCACTAAGAACATCTCTGCCATTTGTTCTGTGGGTGTCTTTGAACCGTTGCGTTTTGGAGTCGCAATCGTTCCTCAAGCGAGTGCCATGGGAACCTCGCTCGTGGGTGTGCCCGTCGTGGGTGGCATGCTCAAGTCCCCTTTCACACAGGCCCCAGCCCCTGCCCTAATATCTGTCAGGTTGCTGCTTTCCGCCACATCCATCATCACCGCCTTCCCCAGTTCAGGTTGAAAGGTGTAACCGTGGCCATCACGTAACTCGAAAAGCGCCATCCTATCCCCCAATTGCTGTCCCCCTCCCTGCATACCTATAATATCGTCCAGAGAGTTTGCAAAGTTGTGAGCGTTGTGTGAGCTAGCCTGCGATTCCTTAAACAGCATCATGGGTGGCCGCAGCTCGGCCTTGATCCCATCCAGCACGGCGGCCGACGCCAGCGGCGGCAACGCAAGTGGGTCATGTGCCACCGCCATGGGGCACCGTGCGCCACTGTGGGGCGCTTTGGCAGTGGGCCTGTGCAAGTCCATCATCCTGAGCAGCCACAGGTCGTCGTGCAGCACGAAGGGCACGTCGTGGAAGTCCATCCTCACACACGAACTTGGCACATCCTGGGATATTTGAACCTCCACCGCCCCGTTCGCGGGCACATGGATCACGATGAAGGGCAGCTGGAGCACCCTGGGCACAGGCGGGCACGAATCGATCGGCCGATCCTCGTTCCTTCGCAGGAGCGCTAGGAGAGCGGCATGCTGCTCCACCAGCTGCGAGAGGACGGCCTTCTTGGCATCAACGAGGCTCTTTGCATCCATCCCATCTTCCCCATCCTCCATATCCTCCCCACCCTCCCTGCGTTCTGGCTCATCTCCAACAGGCAGCCCCACCCAGCATATCTGCTTATCCTCCTTCCTGATTATGCCAGCGGCATCGAACACATTGAGCACGTCGTACACCCGGCGCCTCAGGTTGTCGCTCTCGGTGCACTCCTTCCCTTCCTCCCCGCCCACGCAGCTCTCGGCCACCAGCTCGTCTGCCACCTCCCCATAAGTCGTCATCCCCTTGCGCTCCACCGCCGCCTTCACCCTCAGGCTGGTGTGCTTCAGGCCCCTGGACTTCCTGGGGCTGGTCAGGGCCCCCATCAAACCTGCCTTCCTCTTCAGTGGGGTGACACACATTCCATTCCCAACCCCAACCATCCCCGACCCCCCAACGGTAGAATTGTTTTGTAGGCTGCGGCTTGGGCTGTCCAGGAAGTGGCCAGACTCTTGCACACGCCCCCTGACCACCCCTCCCTCCCCTCTGTCCCCACACACCCCCTTTGCAGGCCTGGATGTCCCCTCACCGTTGTCAACGCCTTCTGCCAAGCCACTCCTGGAGATTGCGGCACTCCACTGCTGCAGTGCATCCCGCCCCAGGTCCTCAGGCAGCCGCCGGCAGCAGCCGTCAGGGCCCATGCTTCCCAGCCTGGGTGCCGGCCTCTCCCCCATTATGTCATGGCACATCGCCGCATAGTCACGGTAGGACACCCACTCGGAATTCCCCCCGCCAGGCTCCACCCCCAATTTGGACTCCCTCTGGCCATCATGCCCATCTTCACCTTGGCAATTCACATTTCCCGATCGCGGCCCTTCCCCCGCCTCCCTGCATCCACCTTTCGAGTCCGTCTCCATTGTGCCACGACCATTTTCGTTTTCAATTTCACGTCCATTTTCGAGCACAATTTCTACTTTGCCTGACCTGCTGCTGAATGTATGCCCCGCGTGCCCTCGTGCACCGTTTCCTGATCGATCGATCCCCCCTGTCGCACCAATCGTCTCCATATACCCCTTCCCTTTGTAGTCTCTGCCGCGTTCTTCTCTGTGAGCCCACTGCCGCCCCGCCAGCCAGCGCATGGCCTGCATGCCCGCCTCATCAATCACACCCGCTTTTGGCACTGAAATCTGTGTTCGACGAAAGGATCGAGGATTCGAGGAAATCTGTGCCCCGTCCCCCCAAAGTACTGGATGCAATTGCTCAGCAGGGGCCCTTTGTATGGCCTGTTGTTTCTCTTCTCCCTTGTAAAGAATATCACCCCCCTGCCCAGCACAGGCTTGCTCAGCACATGATGCCCTTTGTAAGACCCCTTTCTCTTTTCCCTTGCAACACATCACATCCTCATCTGGCATTGTCGATGAAATGTGTGTTCTCTCCTGGAGGGACCACCAAGCGTCTCCGGATCGGGCTACTGACACTTTTGTGTCCTCCTGCCCATAGGGCAGCGCCATGCCGCCATTCCCCTCCACCCCCGCTCGATGAAATGTTGTCTCCCTTATCTCCTGCCGGCCGACAAAAATTTGGTCGCTGCTCTCACTGCAGCTCATGGCCGTGAAGCCGAGCCCGCCACTTTTTGGGCCAGCTGCGAACCTCTCTGATGGCAATGCTATGGCGCCTGCGCCATCCAACTGTCTAGGAAAGTAGTTTTTGGGATCAGCCACAGCCCCTTTTGATGGCGACGCCGTGCCGCCTGGACCATCCAATTGGGCGGGAAGAAAGTTTTTTGCCTCAGCGACCCCCCCTTGCATTGGCAGCGAGAAGGGACCGCAATTGGAGACGCCCGCCTCCATTTTCGCTGCCAAAAAGCTCGGAAAATCAGTCCCAGGGCTCGCCCCCGCTCCCCCAGCTTGTTCCAAGCCCCCGGCACGCCCCGCCGACCCGATTCGGGGCCACTGTCCCGGCCCCTTTCCCGAGCCACACACAGCCCCCACCGCTTCCCCCCGCCACATTTGGCCGCCGATGGGGGTCATCCTCCCCTGCGCCAGCCCGCCGATGGCGCGCAAGCGATCTTCCGCGCACCTGGGCTCGATCATGTTCGCAGGCGGCGGCGCTTCGAGCATGCCCAGCACTCGCCCCTCGTTCAAAACTTCATTCCTGAGCCCCTCGGAGAGGCCATCAAGCTCCGGGCGGCCCCCAGCTGCCATCTGCGCCACCGGCACAATCACTGAGCTCGCTCAAATTCTCCCCCGCCGCGAAATAAAAAAATCGGCGGGGACAAAAAGAAAAAAGGGTCGCGCAAGGCGTGCACCTGGTCAACGCCCAAGCAGGATGCATGCGGTCAACGCTGAAGCGATACATGCGGTCAACGTGCGAGCCAGGCAAGCGGTCAACACACAAGGCCATGCATGCGGTCAACGCGCAAGTGATGCAAGCTGTCAACGCACAAGCGAAGCGCATGCGGTCAACAAAACAGCTTGACCAGGTCAACGCACCGCCGCCGCTCGCCGCCCCCGCGCCGTGAGATGCTCCAGGGGATCCGCGGCCGGGAAGCGCGAAATCGGTTTGCGGTCTCGTGACGCGGGAGTGTAACGCTCTGGGCCCCCCTGCCGCCGGCGCCTGCGGGAGGGCCTCGCCGACAAAACCTGGGGGCCGCCCGGGAGGGCGCCAGGGAGCAGCGTGCCAGAAATGAGCCCTGGCGGCCTGTGATGGGATAATGTACAGATATGTGCTCTAATGTAGGCGCGTTCCCCGCCCCGGGCCAGCTTGTTCGCCCGCCCAAATGTGAAACGTTGTTAGCACGGCCCGCCAAAATTTGAAATGTGGTTGGCATGGTGCGCCATTTTTTGTGTTAGTGTGTATGTGTGTGAAGAGGGGGGGAGAAAAGGGTGTGTAACGAGGCACAACATATTGTTCTTGGCACGGGCACGAGGAACGCTGGAAGGTTGGTAGGGCCAAGGTGAAGTGGCAAAGTACAAGATTGAGGGGAGGATTGGTGGCGGGAGGCGGGGTGAGGTGTTCGGTTAATGACGGGTGCCGAGCAATAGGCGAGGTGGTGCATTGTGTGCTCATCGTCTGAGGCGTGTTTGCGACACATTATGAGGGATTCCCTCATAATTTCCGAAATCAATCTCAACATTAATGGTTTATTCATGCCCTAAGTATGTACAAGCGATTCTCACTACAAGTGAAAGTCGCCCAAACAGATTAAGTGCACAACTGAATAATAAGTCACAACATATCACAAAGTGGCACAAGGAGAGTCATGATGCAACTCAGAAAGCTTGGGAAATATTGATACGGCTTGAATGTTAGTACAGGAAGATACGTTTACTAGGTGGATCATTTGTCCTGCGGCCAACAACTATTCCGCATTTTACAATAATGTTAACATTATTTGACAAATAAAATAAGCAATTATTTGACGTTTATTTTCTCGTCCTTCTTGTCATGCATCTGCGCATTTTGTGTGATACATCATGAAATTAAAGGCTACCTAGGATTGTATTTTACTGAATAAGGTCATGTGATATACTCACAATATACCTTAGATTCTAAGTTGTTTCTTTTATTTATTGTTGCCAATATGCGTTGTGCAACAATACCCTATGGATGCTGTTGTGTGAACATTGTCTTTGGTTCTTTATTCGAGCGGAGTGAGATGTGACGAAAAAGGCGTGCAGACCAATTATATGCGCCTTCATGGAGCATCGAGCACAGTGAGGTGATTTTGGGATTTTGGCCATTTTTGGGCCATTTTGCTGCATAGAAATGAGGGTTTTGAGGACGGTCTGGGTGCTTGTAGGGACGGTGGCTCTTGAAGAGAGCAGAGCAATTTTCGAACATCTAGATCGCCACCCAAATTTCAAGGTGCTGAATCAGCGCATCTATTGGGTTGATGATGGGCGATTACAATTGTATGTGCCAAGTGGGACCTTGAGAAGTGCAGTGCTGACTGAATTGCATGATGCACATTGTTCGGGCATCAAGAGAACATCTGACCTGGTGAAACGGGATTTCTATTGGCCTTCTTTGGAGAGTGATGTGACGGAGTTTGTGAGGAACTGTGATGCATGTCAGTGCAACAAACCCTCAAATCAGAGAAGCGCTGGGTTGTTGCAACCTTTGGAAATACCTCACAATCGTTGGGAGAAAGTGAGCATGGATTTGATCACTCATTTGCCAAAGACCCGATCAGGTTATGATGCTTTGTTGGTTATGGTGAACTATGGCACCAAGATAGTGGTGCTGAGACAAAAGGGACAACCACTGCTGTGGATGTGGCTAAGATTTTTGTGGATTCTATTGTGCGAGTCCATGGTTTGCCGAGGACCATTGTGTCGGATCGTGACAGCAAGTTCACGAGCCATTTTTAGAAGGAAGTGTTCAAGAATATGGGAACAACTTTGGCAATGTCATCGAGATTTCATCCTCAAACTGATGGCCAAACGGAGAGGGCCAACCGTACGATTGAGGAGATTATGAGAGCATTCGTGGGAAGACGACACAATGATTGGGATCAATGGTTGAGCATGGTGGAGTTCGTCTACAACAATGCCGTGCAATTTTCAACTGGATTTATGCCTTTCTACCTTTGCTACGGGCGACATCCAGTGAACCGGGTTCACTGAACCCTACAAACTTGTTGGCTGGAGCGGAGACGAAGAATGTCACAGCTGAGGATTGGATGGAGACTTTGTCCAAAGATCTACTGCAAGCACGCGACAACTTGACGAAGGCTCAAGAGCGACAGAAGCGATATGCGGACAAGAAGCGAAGAACTTTAAAGGTTCCACTCCAAATTTGGAGTTGCGTGCTGGTGATGAAGTTCTTCTCTCTACCAAATACCTCAACATTGCTGGAGCTGGACCAAGCCACAAGTTTGGACCATTGTACATTGGACCGTTCAGGGTGGCGGAGTGCTACACGACAGCCTACAAGTTGGAGCTGCCGGCACACATCCGCGTACATCCTATCTTCCACGTTTCTCAATTGAAGTTGTACCAAGCGCCAAAGGATGCCAGAAGACGTTCCCAACCCCCGAAGCAATCATCTCTACGGACGGCCACGAGGAGTACTTCGTCGAGGAAATCGTCAACCATCGACTGCAGAAGCGCGGACGTCGAACCGTCAAGGAGTACCTCGTCTTTTGGGAAGGCTACCCTGCCCATGAAGCGACTTGGGAGCCTGAAGCGAACCTCCAAAATGCGCAAGAGAAAATCCAGGAGTACTACGGCCGCATTGAAGACAATGCTTAGTTTAAGGGGGGGAGATTATAGTGATTGGACACTGTACTGTACTGTGACGGGTAATTAAACGACTTAGATGAATTAGATGAGTTCATTTGAGTCTAGAAATGTGTTAATCATGATCGCCACGTTGATCTTGTTAAATGGGCCAATTTTCGGTATAATGAGGTAATTGAGGTAATTCAGATCATTTAGCC